GGCTTCAGTGTCCAGGCTTACGGCAGGAGCCCTCCTCCAGGACCGCTTGACCCACGTTCCCCCATGGCAGTCCCCAGTCCTCCCAGCATGCCCAGTGATCCCGAGCAGGTCTGCCCATAGTGCTAACCAAGACACGGGCTCTGCAGAAGGGCTCACACAGCTGGGATGCTCCGGGCAGATGCTGGGCAGAGCTGAGAGGCTGGAGTGTAAAGGAGAAAGCTCTAAGCCGAAGTCAGAAAGGTCCTGGCAGCACTAATGGTTCAGAACAGCAACTGTGCAAAGTTAGCGTCCCACGGGGGAATGAGAGGTTGTAAAGGCTGGTGACTCCAACGGACTCTGAAATACTAACAAGAAGTCTGTCTTGCCTCTCCTGGGAGGACAAGCCTGAGCTAGAGGACCTCCCACAGCCAAGAGAGGGAAGAGATGTCAAAGGCCTACACATCACTTCTAGCCTCAGCCCTATCTAAAGCAAAGGGCAATATCAGGTTCACCTCCATCAAAACACAAAGTCTAAAGTCTTGCTCACGCCTTTAGCTCCAGTATTCATATAGAAGAAGCAACTGGGACCCAGGGCCTGGGAAAGCCTTGCTCATACATTGAAAATGTGCATCTTGGATTTTTTGGACCCAAACCTGGGTCTCACTCCCACTGCCCAAGGCTGCCTCTCCTCAGGACTTGTAGCAAGGCATGAGCAAAGCCACCTTGTCTGTCTCTTGGGGAAACACCGATCACACACAAGGCATGCTCAGGTTCTAGCCAAGTATTGATTAACAGAACTACATCCCTCCAAGCATTAAAAGGAACCGAGAAGCCCTGGTAAGGGGGCACACACCTTTAATAGGAGCGTTCCAGAGGCAGAGGCAGGCAGATCTATGAGTTCGAGGCCATCCTGATCTAGAAAGTGAGTTTCAGGCCAGCCAGGGCCACACAGTGAGACCCTGTCTCAAAACAACAACAACAACAAAGAAACTAAGAAGAACATTCCAAACAGGTAGAAAAACAATCCCAAGAGGAACTACAGCAATCATGACGTTTGTGCTCCCAACAATACAGCTTTAAAAGCAAAGTGGATTCGACTACAAAAGCGGATTTTTAGACAGCTCTCTTAGATACTGACAGGAGAACTAGACCATCAGATAATAAACATGTTTCTCTCCGAACACCTCTAGGCACATACATTCTGGGTCCCAAACTGAAGATCATGGCTCATGCCTCTAAATTCATCACTTAGGAGATGCTGGCAAGAGAATAAAAAGTTGAAGCTCTTCCTTAGCTTCGAAGCCAGTTCAAGGCCAGTCTGGCATCTATGAGCCCTTGTCTCATTAATCAGCCAGTCAATTAATAAATTTAGAATCCTAAAGAGTGATTTCATTCCTGTTGTTATTTGCCATACTTGAACTTTAAAATTAAAAATATGAATTCATTAATTCAGTTAATAAATCATTGTATGTTAACATAGACATAACTTTATAAAAATAATTCTACCTTTTCAAAATGAGAAGAAAAACCACAATACCCCGAGAAGAGTGGCATTGTTTTACAGCTGTGTAAATCCTCTTAATACACAGGCTAATGGGGGACAGCTGGACCCTTCTATCTCCGTCTGCATTCAATTTGTTGCCACATGTGTGCTGGTTAAACTAAATGATGAAAATTTGGCCTCACACAGAAATGTAGCTGGAAAAGGAAGGAGTGCTTTAATGGCCTTTGCAGATAATTATGGATATCTTCTTTGATAGCACCCCAAAAATGACATATGGGTTATATATGTTCATTATAATAATATGTAATCTGAAGTCTATTAATAATCCTTTCTTACTACATTGTCTTGAAATCCATTGATTTATCTTGCACTTTAAATTGGTTTTAATTTTTTTTTTTTTTTTTTTTTTTTTTTTTTTTTTTTTTTTGGTTTTTCGAGACAGGGTTTCTCTGTGTAGCCTTGGCTGTCCTGGACTCGATTTGTAGACCAGCTGGCCTCAAAATCACAGAGATCTGCCTGCCTCTGCCTCCTCGAGTGCTGGGATTACAGGTGTGCACCACCACACCCAGCTAAATTGACTTTTAAATTATATACAATTTTGACTTTGTTCACCCTCTGAAAAGGTTTGAGCTTTTGTTATTGAAACAAACAATAAAAATGTAGAAAACTGAAGGAGTTTATGAACATAATTAAGTTTGATCAAAGAAGCATCTTGGAGGTGAGAGATATCTACACAGGATTTTGCTCTTTTGGACAAGCAGTTCGCTCTTCCAGCTGAGGTAGCATGGACCTGGACAGGATGGACAGATACCAAGTGTGCCAGATGTTCAGCCCAGCTGCACAGGCCCTGGGTTCACCTCACCAAGAAGCAGCACCACATCAGAAAGCCTCTCAGGCGAGAGCCAGGGGAAGGGCTAGCCACAGGAGCACACTGCCTTGAGGGGCCCAGTGCACTCTGGCTCCATCCCTTGTAAAGGGCTGCCCCTCCCCCTCCCCGCTCCCATCAATCACCAACCTATGTCAGAGAGCCTAAAGCCTCCCCACATCAGAGTTGGCAGGCAGGGAAGGCTCATCATCCTCTTCCGGCCCAGCTCCATTGCCCTTTGGAACCTAAGCTTCCAGGCCTAGACGTGCTTGCTTTCTGGCCCTGTGATGGCTTTACATAACCAGCCACAGGAACAATGTCCAGCTCTGTCCAGGTCACCCATAGCAATACTAAGAACGGTCCAGCCAAGCCGGCTGGCCCAGGAGCCAACACCTCACACAAACAAGCAGAAGGCCCAAGGCCCCTGTAAGTGTGCACAGCCACACAGCCGACAGCCCTCCCCTACAGCATATGAGACGGCCAGGCCCAGAGATGAGGCAGGGTGTGGACTCTAGAGAGCAGCGCCCTTCTGCTCAGAGCTCATTCAGGGTCCCGCCCAAGGCCTCTCGGGGAGATGCTCAGAACACCTAATGCATACTCACCCACAGTCTCACCCCTGTGAGCATCTGACATTCCCCGGTGCTCTTTACAGGCAGGCCCTGCCCAAGGCCTTTCCACTCACCTTCTTTGCCCATCACAACTTCAGTGGGAGCCCCGCTCTGTAAAGAAGGAGGCTGAGGGTCAGAATCGCTCTTACTTGCCGAGCCACCCAGGGAGTTGGGGAGGGAGTTCCAGAATTCGAACCTGGCTTTCAGATGCACTCAGGGTTCTTCCACATTATCGTGAACTGCCTGGCTCTGTGGTGACCAGTCCTTCACCTTCTAGCTGCCCATCTGCAGGGCCTCTTGATGCTGCACGTCAAGGGAGAAAGGGAAAGCAAGCCCACAGCTGCATCTGCCGGGACTCAACTATGTCAACCAGGACATCAGAGGCACCGGGTCCCACCCTGGGCTGTGAGCCTGATCCCTTCTTGCTTCCTCTGCTCTGCCTGGTGTCTTGTTCTCACAGATATATCAGCTACATTCGGGACCAAGCCTTTTGCACCTCACCCGTATCCAGCACACAGCAGGTGTTCTAAATGTTCTGGGTGGATACTAAGGTATCCCCCCCCCCCGCCATTGCACGGGCAGATTGGTTGAAAGCCAGGAGCCCTGGAAATGCTGAGGAGCAGAGAGGAAAGGGAAGGGGTAGTGGGGAGACCTTCCCTACTTACAGAAGCACTCCTTACTTGAAGCAGAGCCAGCCCTCCCTGCTCAAGCCCCTCAAGGAGGCTCGTCCCGAGACAGGAGACCAAAGGTCAAGTGAGACCTGCAAGAAGCTCCTTCCACAAGCCTCTCCTCCAGTGCCCCTCCCAGGAAAGTCAAGGAAGACAGGGTGCACAGTGCCAAAAGACACCAGGCGTGGGATCCTGGGAGCCGCTTTCTCATGTCCACTTGGATGACAATGACACTTCTCCCTCCATCCACAGTGATTCCTGCCCCATCGGGGACTCTGACTGAACGGAGAATAATGAAGCTCTGCTCTTTGGATCCTGCCTGCCTTAGCACATAAGCTGTGTGACAGTAATAGCCATTACTCTGAACCCTCAGTATCCATTCATTTTGTCTGTCTGCCTGGACTCTGACTCTGGAACAAGACTACCCAGCTCCAGTGGCCAGCTCTATCCTTACCTAACCTCAGCCTGGGCACCTGTAGGGTAGCTGTGATAATGAAACCTACCCTTCTCATGGCATCACTATGAGAACCAAACCAGGCAGTTTATGAAAGGTGTCTACAACAGTCTCCAAGCAGTTATCACCCACTGGATGCAAGCTTTCATTAGAAAGAGGCCTTGATAAGGTTGCAAAAGTGTGGCACATTGTGTGTGACACTTAGTAGGAGCTCATTAAATAAAAGCCAGATTCCCTTCACCCCATCCCCTTGGCTGGGTCTTAGCCATCTGGTATCCCCTGCAGGCCGCAAAGAGCCTGGCACTGGCCAGAACCTTAGGGGATGCTTGAAAATCTTAGGGTGAATCTCTGCCTGCCTGGCCAGGAGGGCGTGGAGGGTCAAGAGACTCCAGTGTCTGAGAAGAGCAATAGAGGTGTTGGGGAAGGGAAACCAGAGCTGAGCAGGGAAAGGCCCAGGCGTGGAGATAAGCAGGTGAAGTGAGTGAGAAAAGGAACAGGAGAGACTGTGGCGGAGACAGATAAGAAGGATGGAGAAGAGGGTGAGGGTGAGCAAAATGCCAAGCCCCAGGAAAAGGCACAAGCAGAGGCCTGGGCTGCCGCAGGGGAAGAGCTGACAGGTCAGGGTCGCGCGGGTGGGCGGGACTCAGGGTTCCTCCCAGGTCAGCCAACCCAGGGTGAGGATGGGAGGTGAGGGGGGCCAGCGGCTGCAGATTGGCTAGGGCACAGCGAAGTCTGGGCTGGAGCCCCGAGGTGGGAGGCGCCTGGATCACTCCGGCAGCGGAGCGGAGCTGAGCAGAGACTGCCACCTACTTGGCCGACCCGAGCTGAGGCGACGGCTGCAGGGAGCATCCCGGCCAGGGCGCACGCGGGGCAGCCGGGCGCCAAGCACCGGAGCCGTCGGGGCGGGCGGCACCATCCAGCCATGCGGGTAACGGGGGCGGCGCGGACGGCCGCGCTGGCGCTGCTGCTCGGGGCGCTTCATGGGGTGCCGGCGCGCGGCCAGGAGTATGACTACTACGGTTGGCAGGCCGAGCCGCTGCACGGCCGCTCCTACTCCAAGCCCCCGCAGTGCCTCGACATCCCCGCCGACCTGCCGCTCTGCCACACGGTGGGCTACAAGCGCATGCGGCTGCCCAACCTGCTGGAGCACGAGAGCCTGGCGGAGGTGAAGCAGCAGGCAAGCAGCTGGCTGCCGCTGCTGGCCAAGCGCTGCCACTCAGACACCCAAGTCTTCCTCTGCTCGCTCTTCGCGCCCGTCTGCTTGGATCGGCCCATCTACCCGTGCCGCTCGCTGTGCGAGGCCGTGCGCGCGGGGTGCGCGCCGCTCATGGAGGCCTACGGCTTCCCCTGGCCCGAGATGCTCCACTGCCACAAGTTTCCCCTGGACAACGACCTCTGCATCGCGGTGCAGTTTGGGCACCTGCCTGCCACCCCGCCTCCAGGTAGCGCCACCATCGTCCTATGTGCCCAGAGCTCCCCGACAGCCCTGCGGGCCAGCAACCCCGGGTCGGACCAATGCCTCTCCCCCAAACCCGGACAGTGTGTCAAGCCCCTACACACACACTACAAACGTCCAGGGCCCAGAATTGTCTGCCTCATCCCACCGTTACGAACTTGAGGCTCTGGGTATCCGCACCGGTTCTCTCCCCTCTCTGACCTGTGCCTCATGCAGCTCACAGCACGCCCACTTTTCCAAGCTGCTGAATCCCTGGGTGCCCTGGGGACGTCCCCATAAATGCCTTATTGCCTTCCTCGGCTCAACAATGCTTGGGATCAGATCGCTATGCAGTGTCTTTGACCTGAACTGCAGGCACCAGACAAGCCCTCCCCCCCTCCCCCTCCCCTGGAACTTTGGGAAGAGGCGGTTGGTTAGGGAAGAACTAAGGTCCCTCATTCCTATGTCTGGAACCCTAACTTCTGCATCTTTCCCAATTCCTAGGCTGCATATGTTTTGGGTGCTTAACTTTTCTGAGCCTCCTTTCCTCAGCAGCAAAACCCGAGCTTTCTGAGCTCCCAAGTCCTGTTTCCCACAGGCACCCCAGTGTCGTTACTGTCATTATGCTTGGTTTCTGATTCACTTCAGCTTCTCTTTCGCTGTGCTGGTCCTCAAAGCTGTGCAAGGTTGAGACCACACCCCCTCCTACTCCTTTCTCCAAGAATGCCTGTCCCCTTCCAGGCTGGCCTGGGCATCCTCCTCCCACCTTGTACCCAGTAGGCAGTTAACTGGGAGAGCAAGAGCTCCCTTGAGCGCCCCCCCCCCACCGTGGCTGGAACAGGCAAAGCTCCACTCCCTTTTCCCTTCCCTCCCCACTCCCCAAAAAGCAGCTGGGCCCCTTCTGGCACCTCCCTACCCCCTCTCTCAAAGCTAATCCTGATTGCTTAGTCTTTGGCGGCTCTCTCACCTTCTCCTTCTCCCTACCTCCCTCTCTCTCTCTCAGTGGGGTTCTAGGAGGGGAAAGACCCTATCCTGGAGGCTGAAGTTGACAGGCAAGCAGGAATAGAGCCAGCTAAGCAAGAAATCCACAGTCCCCAGAAGTCCCTGCAGATTCCTTTTACAGTTTCTTTGGAGTCTAAGCATGAACAGCCTGAAAAACTCAGGAATCTTAGGCTCAGAACCCTGGCTGGCCCCACCTTGCTACCCATGACTCCCCTTCCCAGTGAAGTTTGCTCACCAGGAGGCAGGAACCTAAGAAAACCCCAACAAGGGTCAGACTGGAGTGGAGGGTGATTGGAGGGTGATAGGAAGGCGTGTGTGGTCAACAGGTGACATTCAGATGTTTCTCATTAAAATGGGTCATTTAGACTTCCTTTGAGAAAGTTAATGCTGCCTTGTCCTGCTGGTTACCCACCCGCTTGGCCCCCGAAAGCACAGCCGCTCTGGGCAGAGAGCAGGAGCCACAGTCCTGAGCCCTCAGCATTGCTGACTAGGCTACCTACATTCCACCTTGTTTTCCTCTGCTTCACAGGCGGGGTACTAGAGCTGCTGGGGGAGAACAGCGCCCACCTCACCATACTGCCCCTGCACTGTATGATCTCTTGAATTGTCACATCACTCAGCCATTGCCAGCATGCCATTAGAAATTAGAGCAGCTTTTGTGAGGAGCTGGTGTCAGGAGGAGTTGTAGAGGAGCCTGTACTGTCCTGGCTGTTTGGGACTCCACCTACTCTGCTTTCTCTCTTCAGTGACCAAGATCTGTGCCCAGTGCGAGATAGAGCACAGCGCTGACGGCCTCATGGAGCAGATGTGCTCTAGCGACTTTGGTGAGTGTGGGCTCACGGGACCACAGCCCTGACACTGCTCCCAGCAGGCTGGCTCAGAACCAGCCCCACCTGTCTAAGGCAACTGGAGCTGGATTCCGGCCCTTTCCACTGAGATGCCTCCACAGCTGAACCATCTTTTTTAAGGGGTGCAAGCTTAGCCCAGAGATGGATGGGGCCCTCATAAGACACAGGAGCCTGCAATAGAAGGATGCCCCTGGCATCTGTGCGAAGGACTCAGTGCTCTTTAGCAGGATAGCTTGTGACTGGCTTTCCCCACAGCTTCTGGGACAGCTGATCTAAGCCAGTCAGGACCAAGCCCACTGTGGGCCACAGAGTTCCGCATGTGATCTTTGCAAAGTTGGTTCTGTTCTGTGTCCTACCCTCCCTCCTTGTCTATAAAAGTAGGGAAAAGAGCAATGTTGAAATCCTTGCTTCAGAGGAATCTTTATGTTGGTAGCCTCCCTGGAAAGAAAATGCTGCTATATATTGCAGAGGGAGGGGCAGAGGAGGGAAAGGGGAGAAAAGCTGTTTTAGGACAATTCCTCTCCCTGGGTGGACATTGGTATTTTCTGGCTTCTTGAGAGGTGGAGGCCAGCTGTGGAAGTGTGGAACTAGGCAGAGGGCCCTCAGCCCAGGATTCCTGTCCCTGGCTGTATTGGGTCTCTGGCCTAGACTATGACTCAAGCCCCAGGCCTGGCCTTTACCTCCCCACCCTAAACCCTCACTCACACTCCTACACATACCACAACATACTTCCACACAGACATACCACATACATTCCACATGGCCATACGCTCACACATATATACCATCTTCTATGGAAGGTTCACTGCAGAGCTGCTCCGTCAACATCTTTCCCAACTCCATGTCCGATGATAGGGCCAGCCAGGATGGTATCGGCAAATGCTACCTAGTAGACTCCTCCTTGCAGAGCTGGCTGTTAAATGTTACTAAACCCCCAGTTATCTACCAGTTATCACACACACACACACACACACACACACACACACACACACACCCAGCCAGCCAGCTAACAGTCCCATCAGAATCACCAAGGGATGGCAGAAACCAGTATCCCTGCATCACAGAGACATCCTCCCGATGGTCAGCTACACTCCTGACCCAGCTACCCCATCGCTGAAGAACGTACCGCCCTGCATTCATGTTATGGAGAGCTCTGGCTCTAAAGCTGGCCGAGCTTAAAGGGATTCAGGCTCCAGAACCCAGGCAGGACACACCCTTCTCACACCCATGTCACCCTACTGTGCCCGGAAGCTGAAAACCTATCTACAATGACCATAGAAGTCCAGCCCACAGGAGCTTCGTAAACATTGCAGGAACCTCATGAGTCTTGCCATCCAAGCCCCACACCTCAGCAGGCTCCCCAAGAGTGTCCTGGTATCAGCCTAGGGCTCCCACTATCCTAAGCCAATGTGACACTTTTCAGTCCACCCTTTGCCCTCCTTTCCACAGTGGTCAAGATGCGCTTTAAGGGGCCTGCCTTGAGCAGCTTCTTCTTCTTCTGGGCTCCAATCAACTTCCGGTCCCCATTGTCTATCTTGATCTCCTTAATGCGCATCTTGACCACTGTGGAAAGGAGGGCAAAGGGTGGACTGAAAAGTGTCACATTGGCTTAGGATAGTGGGAGCCCAGAAGAAGAAGAAGCTGCTCAAGGCAGGCCCCTTAAAGCGCAAGGACACCAAGAAGCTGGTCCTGCACATGAAGAACGGAGCAAGCTGCCCCTGCCCACAGCTAGACAACCTGACAGGCAGCTTCCTGGTCATGGGCCGCAAAGTGGAGGGACAGCTGCTGCTCATGGCCGTCTACCGCTGGGACAAGAAGAATAAGGAAATGAAGTTCGCGGTCAAATTCATGTTCTCTTATCCCTGTTCCCTCTACTACCCTTTTTTCTATGGAGCAGCTGAACCCCACTGAAGGACCCTCCCCTTGCCTCAGCCAGCCAGCTGTGCCTTGCCTTGCCCTCTGTCCCTGCCCACCTGGCCTCACCCCCATTCCCAGGCTGACCCAGGCCTGTCAAGGATGGCTTCATGCAGCTACTACTGGCACAGGCTCCAAAGGTTAGGCATGGGGCTACCCTCCTTGACTGAAGGGTTCTGGAATCCTGGGGTCTGTCAGGGAGGGAGGGGGCTCTCTCAGGAGAAGGACATTCTCTTCTGGAGAAAGCCCTAGTGTCTGAGAAAGCAGGCAGAGGAGAAGAATGTGAAGGAAGGCTGCAGGGCCTCCCGCAGCCTGGGGAGAGACTTTCCAGAAAGAATAGTGGGTCTCACCATTAAGAGGGACCAGTGCTTAAAGGACAGCCTTCCTCCCCTACTGGCTCTTTATGTGTTGTCAAAGACCTCCAAAGAGCAAGAGTCAAGGCCTCCATGTCCTCCAGCCGCACCCACTCTTCATCTGGAGCCCCGCTCCACTGGAGTGCAGGCTCAGCGGCTTCTGCAGACACTCTCATACAGGCTTGCTTCCTGGCTCTCGCTCAGCCTCCCTCACCCTGGGTCCCAGCGATGATAAATTATTGCTACCGCTGTGAGGCTGCTGGTTCTAGACAACAGGTTTGGTTCTTTTTTTTTTTTTTTTTAAGTTTTTAATTAAATAAAAGAAAACAACAGTTGCTTTGGACCGGATAATTTCTTTCTCCAGTAACTCTGAAGTGGCTGGGGGCTAGAGAGGTTCAGATGGCTCTGACAAGGGCCAGTGTCCGAGCCAATGCTCAGTCTGCTCATCTCCTTGGAAAGCCTAAGGCAGTGTTCCCAAGAACACAAGCTGAGGGTCACTCTCACCTCCCAACCCCTAAGCAAGGGGTTCTGTCCCTAAGGTGGGACAGAAGTGCCAGGTTTCCCAACCCTATCCCAGTCAGAAGACTCCCAGCCATGCACTGTCCCAACTTGGGCAATTCCAGGTCAGAAAGGTCTAAGAGGGCCAGGCCATAAGGAATGATGTCATCTCTCCTGGGCACTAGCCCTGACATAGAGGCGACAGCTGCTTTAGACTGACACCATGCTAAACATGTTCCTGGGTCCACAGCAGCCTTGTTATCCAGGAACTAGCTGGAAACAAAAATCTGAGCTAGGAATGCCTGCCACTCAAAGACAGAGTACTTGCCTGGGAATGCAGGCACTTGCTCCCCTTCCTGCAATGGAGACTGCTTTTTTACTTTTAGAGTGTTACTGGGGACCAAACCCAAGGGTCTGCATTTTAACATGTAACTTTGGCCCATCCACAGGGCTTTTAACAAATCCTGGGCCCCACCCCCACACAATGAAAACAGGACCTCTGCCAAGCACCAAAAACCCAGTGTTTTGCCACCTAGTGGTACAGGGTCTGGGAGCCATTGCTAGGACGAAGAAACCTGAAGTGGGGACAGAGAAGGCTGGGATCCACACAGTAGCTTTAAAGTACAGGTGCAGGGATGGGAGGAGGTTTGGAGGCGAGAAGAAAGAGTTCTTGGTGGAGACTAGGTGCGGTCCGTCAGCAGATGCAAAGTGATCGGGTACACGAGCACAGAGTGGAGCCAGGCCCTCTGACAGCCTAGCCAGCAGAAGTAGCCAAAGCCTGCTGCTCCTTCAAAATACAGGAGCCACCCAGGTAAGGAAAACTCTGGAAATTCCCTTGGAAAAATGTCACTTGGGCAAAACAGAAGTGGTGGCATGGCCACAAAGGTCATTGGCGTAGACTAAGGTGGGCCAGTTGAACTCTCCTCCACAGGGGCCTAACAGGTGGCCTGACCACTTGTCCATAAATCACCTCTGGGCAGTCAGGTGGCCTCTGCCCAGGCAGCAGAGGCCTAACTGTTGCTCCTCACTCAGAGGAGGCTGTTGCCACCCACCCTGCCCAAACCCTGCCCAGCCAGCCCAGCTCCCTGAATCTGCGCCTTGTCTCCCAGCCTCCTGCTCTAACCAAATATTTACAGGCACTTCTGTAGTCCACCAGGCACAGAGATTATTTTTCCACCAAGTACACAGAATTCCAGCCACTCCTGGCTGAAGTCCGATGCTGATCTGTCAGGTGCTGGTGGCAGGGAGTGGCGGTGGGAGAGGACTCCCCTAGCCTACTCCATGGATCTCAAAAAGGGACCTGGCTCTGTGCCCCTCCGGTTCTGTTCTCTGCCTGCCTAGAATCTCTTCTGGAATGGAGTTCTCCCAGAGACCAGGGAGGCTCCGCAAGACCATCCTGATCCCTGATCCAAGTCAAAATTCAAAGCTTTTGTCATGAAACTGAAGTAAGCAATTTGAATTTCTTTTTAAATTTTATTATTACTTGTGCATACATGGCAGCCAGAGAATTGGTTCTCTCCTTCAGCCCTATTGAAGCAGGGTCTGTAGTTTATGCCAGGCTGCTGTGTACTCCAGAGGAATTCTGTCTCCTCCCATCTCACTGAAGGAGTGCCGAGATTACAGATATAACCCAGCTGGCTTTTTAACATAGGTTCCAGAGAACAAATTCAGGGGCCCATCCAATGCGGCCAAAGACACAGTAATTTGATGTTTACCTGCTAGTAGGGAAATATTGTCCTTATTTTCTGTAAACCATTATGTTCCTGTAACAGCAGGAGCTGAATATACAGTAAGAACATTGCAGTTCACCAGCGGCTGTGTGGAACCTTCACTGGCTGTGTGGCAGGAGGGGATGATGCAGTGCATAGGGTGCATATTGTCTGTTCAGAACCAAGGCTGCTGCGCAGTCACAAGTTTGGTTTTGAATTCACTTTTGGCTGTTCAGTGTTCAATAGCCTTTTATTGTTACCAAACTTTTCACAACCCCCACACTCAGTTACAGGACACCATATAAAGTCACAGCCTACAGTTTAAAAGTCCAAGGACTATTACTACCTTCTACATAGGTTTCTACAGAGCCGAGACAGGCTCAGGGTGCACGTGTTCATGAAAGCTCCAGGGAGTTGCTTCGATGATACTGCAAGGGCCTGGGCAGAGAAGGCAGAGGCAACCATCCCCACCCATTCCTCTCCTTCTCACCCCTACCAGCTTCCAGCCTCAGGTCTCCACAAAGGCAGCTCACATCCCACAACTGTACAGCCAGCTGTAATCCTGGCTAAAGTTCACTCCTTGGGAAATCTTATGGGGGGGATTGTTGCTGGAATGTGTGTGGCTGGAGCCCAGTGTCCCAGCCCAAACAGCAGGCTCTGCTGGAGGCCTGAAGAAGGATCGCAGCCAAAGGAACCCGGAATCCCCAGCCACCAGCAGTGCCAGAGAATGGAATGTGCTGCTGGGGTGTTGCTGGCAGGAGGTGGGCCACTGGGAGCTGGGGAAGATGGGGGCTCCTGCCACAAGGCCACCTCTGTTCTACTAGGGACTGAAGGGGGGTGGTGCTGGGTGGGCAGACCATTCTTGTTAGCTCAGTGGCTAGCTCCTGAAAGAATGGGGACCAGAATGTGAGACAGTTGCCCAGAATGTGACCTTTACCCAAAACTTCTTAGGGTATGGCTGCTATGAACACCTGCAACACAATTCCCATTGGCTTTGGGGTGGGTCACTTAGCCACCCTATGCCTCTATTCACCTATTTACAATATCCACCAATCAGATGAACCTGTGGCACTGTGGGACATTACAGTGAGCTACTGGCTAGGCATGCTTGCTGCCTGGAAAAGTGGTCCACGAACAAGGCCAGCTGTGGACAGACACAGACTCTGAAAAAGGAATGAAAATGGAGCTTCATTTGGCTTCAGCCCCAAACGCTACAGAAGACATCCAAAATCATTGCCTTTTCCAGGTCTGCCAAGATTTTCTGAAGGCATCAACACACCAGACCCCAAAAACCTCAACAAACCTGAGCCCAAGACAGGCTGGAGACCAGGGTTCCAGATCTGCCCTGCCAGGAGCCAGAACTGTAACAGAACCTGGCAATCTGTCCCCTGCTCCTGGGTGCCCAAGATCAAACTGGCATGTGTCTTTTAACACAGATACCCAATCCCACAAAGGGCAAGCTGTCTGCTATCCCACAGTGAGTTCCATGGTGATACTACTGCCAATCCTGATGAACCCTGATGCTCTACTTAGAGGACCCTGCATTTAAAGAAGCCTACCTCACCTATTCTCACAAGGACCTCCAGGAAACAAAAAGGGGAAACCCCCTTTTCTCACATCTGTGACTACACCCTATAGCCTGCCTTCCTGAGCAGTGACAGTCACCTTTCAACAAAATGGCATCATCTGTTTCAAACTACACTCTGGACTCTCCCTGACACCTTCTCCAAAAATATTATTTAAAACCATTCTTTGGCTTAAAAAAGAAAAGGAAAAAAAAAAAAAAGATCTTTGCTCTAAGGACACAGGACAGAGGCGTCTGAAGGCTGTAGGATGACAGCACCTGGATCCATGGTAGGTGGGGCTGACTTGGAGCTGGCTCACAGTGCTGCTTCCAGGCACTGCCATCTTACTATGATGAAAACAGTGCCTATGTCATGGGCTTGTGCCCAGCACTAACATGTTAGTGTGCAGTGCCCGGGCCCTAGGATCCACCCAGCCTGGCTCACAGAGGCAACTTGCACCTCACATGTCCAAGCAACCTTTCCCAGAGGCTCTCAGCCTCCTGCAGTGCTGGTCCTTTCAGCCTTCCTCAGAGGGATTAACTAAAACCTTTCCATTCTAAAGCCTGCATTACTTACGTTCTTGTCTCAACCTCAATCCAGGGCCCTCAGTCTGGTCACAAGACAAAACCTGGCCCACCTGTTTACAAGGCACAGCTTTCCACTGGGCCTGGCTCCCTCACAGACCAGAAGCAGCACATACTGCACTGTCAGAACGCCCCCCCCCACACACACACACACACACACAGCCCACCCTCGGGGCAAAGTGAAAAACTTGAAGCACTAGGAGACCTGGTCTCCATCCTGGTGAAGAGTGCTGGCACAAGGACAAGACTAAAACCATAAGCCATAAGGGGGGGCCTTTTATTGACAATTCTCCATACAGAGTTCCTTTCTGCTGCTTTACAGTATCAATAAACACAGAGGTAACCTTTTCTCGTCAGGACAAAGGGGTACACCTCACCTGCTTGGTCCCCAGTCCCAAACCCTCACTGCTCTTGTGTAGCCTGTCAGCAAAGAGGGCTTCAGATGGGAGTCACTCGTGTGGTTCAGGTGTGGGCACCAAGTCCATGTTTGGGCAGTAGAACAGTTCTGCTGCTATAGACGCAAGTTTGTGGAGAGCCCCAAGGGTACTCCATGACTCTTGGGAAGGGTCTCAGGCAGGAGCCCCTCTCATCATCTTCACCCTGCCCTGCACTGCATGCTCCCAGGAACCATGAAATAAATAAATAAATAATTTGAAAAGGCAGGGCAGCTCCAGGGGAGGGGGCCTGAGCCAGCTCATGGCTTACAAAGAGGCACAGGGACCCCTTAGCAGATCAAAGGGAACATAAAACTGACCATGTGACCCTACCCCACAATGGACACTGTTCTCCAGGAACAGCCCTGGAATCTAGGAGCCAGCCCATCAAGGTTCTACACTTCCCCGGGCCTTAGATGCCAAGGGATTTCAGAATCTCTGCTCCATTCCCCTGGCCTCACGTTCCATGAGATATGGGCTA